TCTTATATTCTTATTATACCGCTATTACAGGGTGGGGGGTCCTCCTAACATATAGGGTATTTCCCAAAATAAGAGGACCCAGGGACCCTAATATGGAGCCCAAAATACTATAGTCGCTGTCCCTATTACGGGGATCTCCAAAATGGTACCCCTGCTTTTGGGAAACCCCCATATGGAAGGGCGTCAGGGATGTAGATCTGACCGTTAACTGTGAAACCGTTGGAATCGGCAAGTTCAATTGGCTGAGCAGGTCGTCTCGTTGGTAGGCTGGTTGTTCGATTAGTCAACTGGTCGGTCGACCAGCCCGCCGGGAAACATCTACTAGTTAGCCTGTTGGCCCTTCCGGCCGGCGAGTTGCCAGACTGTCAGCCGATCTGGTCGCTTCAGTTACCCGTTTGGCCGGTTCGGCTGGACGGTTAACCGGTCCGGCGACCGGCGATCCGCGTCTAATTCATAACGAATCGCTTTCTTCAACGTCTAACCGGCGAGCCGGCCACACGGGGCGTGCCAACGAGTGCCAGTCCAACGAGTGCCAGTCCAACGGTTCGGCTGTTTGAGTATTCGCCGGCCGACCCCATATTTGTGTTTGCGTTATCGCGTTGCAATGCCCATGCGGGGCACCTACGTTACAAGTACCATCGCCGCGGTGGTGGATCCAGGACCTTCTCCCCTTAGAGCGGCTCAGGCTTGAGAACCGAAAACCCTAAATCTTCAGGTGAGCTATAGGCTAAAACTCCTTAAAGGGGGGTCATATGGTGTATTGTAAGGGGAGTACCATAGGCCATAGGGGTGATTAAGGAGGTAGTTTAGATTCGTTTAGATTATGGCTCAGGTGGAGGGTAACATCCTCGACAGCGCGTTTTCTGTGAGCTTCGACCCTGTACACGACGAGCTCGGACCTTGGAATTGGGTTCACGGCTGCTGGCTAACCCCCTTCCTGTAATACTATACTTAAAACCACCGATAATATTAGATATTCCCAGTATGGTATACTACAAAACCCTGGGAGTACTTATTGCAGGGAAGGGCCGGAGAGGGGACTAGGTAGCTGTATAAAGTCCAGAGGTCGGGTTGGAGGGGAGGGGCTTCAGTGGACAGGTCTGCTCTCTATAGTGATGCTATAGTGGGCTCTGGAAGCCATGGGCTAGTACGCGTGCACTTTTCCATGTACTTTAGGGATAGATTTGCTAATCCAGTTGTTCTGTCGGCTGTGATGACAAGACTTCGGCTGCAGAAATTGTTCACGGCCTTGAGGCCGTGGTGGTTTGTCCGGCTAGGTGGGAAACCCAAGTTGTAGCCATGCAATACCCGTATTTGATTATTATTAAGATGATGACTGACACCCATGTTTTGTAAGAAAGTTAGTTCAGTAGGTCACGGCCCCCTAAACCCTACACCCTCAACCCTACACCCTAAACGTTTGAGTTGATGAGTTGGCTGCACTCATGGAAGCAAGGTTTTTGCACCTTGCTCCCTTGAATTGGGGGGGGCACTGGGAAAGCCCATTTTTGAGTGTCACGACAATTTAAAGGGGTGACTTAGGGTTTAGTGAGTTTAGTTCTTAGGGTCCCTCTGGGCATGGAGTTATACTCCCAAGTATCTCAAAGCTCCAATATCTTGGGACTCTGCCCACCTCTGTCACTGTAACAGTTAGATAGTACTTACATTTACATTTCGCCCTTAATATGACCTCTACTAATATAGACTGTTACAGGGTGGGGGGACCCAACCATTTCAGAGGCTCATGCGCGCTGTGCAAGAAGCCACGGAGACCGGCATCAGGACAGGCCCCCATAGCTAGGCATGGCTGCAGATCGTGGCCCGGAGCAGAAAAAGCTCGTTTTCGCAAGTCAGCGAGGGAGGATCCTACTTATTTCGAAGAGAGATAAACAGCTTTGCGTTTTGGAGTTTGAGGGTCATGTTTATTGGAGTTGGGTTGTTTCCTCCATCAACCCGAAGGAACCTAACACCTTAGCCCCTAAACCCCCTAACGCCCCCCTACACGTTAAAGTCTCAACCCCTAAAGGCCTAAACCCTTATACCCCAAACCGCTGACGTGGACATGAGTCTCAAGCTCAGGCGCGTGCCCAAACCCGAAACCCGAAACCCTATATGTCCCTATATACCCCTATGTATCCCTTTGATTAAGGGGAACTAAGGTTTGGGTACGTGGACCCTTAGGGCCCTAAGCCTCCTCAGGGTTCTTCTCATGCTCCAAGTTCGAAGTCTCCAGGGCTGGTCTGTAATGAGGAGACCTAGGGCCCCAAGGATCCATGTAACCAAAATTGAGTTCCCCTCAAAAGGGTTTATAGGGGTATGTAGGGGTATATAGGGTTTGGGGCCTTTGGGGTCTAAGTACCTAGTAATTGGGCACTTGGGATATGGGCACTAGTAATTGTAGTACTAGGTCGTTGGCAAGTATGTGATTATCGGGCACTTGGACCCTTAGGGTTCATGGAAACTACCTTGTGGCTCCTTGAAATAATTGCCCTACCTACTTGACAGGCCCAGGTGCTGTTCAAAGAAGCTGACTTTTGTTCCCTCCCCTTCCCTCTCTCCCTGCCGTCGCTGCTGCCGCCACCGGGCAGGTGACACAGCCACATCACTACCAACCCTACGACTACGGCGGCGGGGTTGATGACCCTGACTATTTTACATCTTGTGCTACTACTGCCTAATGTCAACCCCAAAGCCATAAACCATACCGCATGCCTTGAACCCGACTCTACCAAAGCCATAGTCTAAACTCCCAGTATCCCCCTAAATAGCCCCTATAATATTCCCCTATATAATCCTTTACATAACCTCCTTCAAGAAGTTTAGACCCTAAACCCTAAACCCAATACAACCCCATATATCATTCCCCTACACTTTGGATCTTGTTCAGCTTGAACAGACCTTAGACCCTACACCCTAAACCCTATGTAATATACCCCCCTCTATAATCCCCCTACACTTTGGATCTTGTTGAGCTTGGACAGGAATGCTGGCCCAGATGCCTGGATTTCAGACATCAGCAGCCAGATTCATGAGGTCATGGAGTCCGGAGAGGCCAAGGGTTTAGGGTTTAGGGTTTAGGGAGTAGTGTTTTATTTGGGGATACTATGGTACCCAATATAGAGTACAAGATTCTATCCGCCTTTTGGGTATAGTATTTTTATGTAAAGAATATAGCCTTACTGGGTTTCGAGCCTGTTGAGGTTCAGGGTTCAGCGGCCTCGACGCATACCTTGTAAACTGAAACCTGAGGGACAACCTTCAAAGACAGGAATCCTACACGGAGCTTTCCAACAACAATTAGGGGAATCCTTTTCGGGAAGTCCCTACAAAAAGGAACTTTTATGTTGGGGTCCATATTGCGGCCCGCATAAATGCATGGAAGGTTCCATATCCCACAGTTTAAGCTTGAATCAGCTAAACACCACCCAAGAAGCAGAGGCTACGCCAACAGCCTCATGATAGGATTTTCATGGTGGGGTGGAAATGTCTCTATAAGGTCATGCAGGGTTTTAGAATAAACAGTAGGTATGCGATCCCTATGAACAGCCTTTTTTGGGTACCGGTGCTCGCGGCGAATTCCTGCGTACGGTTTGACATCTTGGGGTCGATTAACTTCGTTTTGAGAAATTGAAATAGAGCTCCTGTAGGTCCACAACGAGAAATAAGGGGAAACACATTTCCCACAATTGGAACGATTACCCTCTCAGCCACATATCCCGCGGGAGAAAGTTGCTGTGTAGGTCACAGTCAACTGAGGGTTTGGGGAACTGGGCTTGTGTTAAATTCACCACAATCTTCAGGCCGTAAACCCAAAAAGCGGTTGAAGGGTTCGGGGTCTGGGGTTTGGTACAAGGAGTCCCTCAAAGCCTCACATTTTCTGATGGTGGGGGTTGGACAGGATGTAGTACTTTGATGATGAAACTATTGCTGCAAGACTTGGAAATCAACACGGGGTGTTGGTAGGGAATAGAAGGGCTGCCTCACAAGGAGGACAGACTGTGCCCCAACCCAGCAAAAGTCTATGTCAGTGGATAGAGCTTCGCATATACAATATGTATATGAGGGTTGTCCGAAAACCCTTGTCTACAATTTTAGATAAACGAAAACCAAGTGTAACATAGTTTGTCAGAAACCCTGCGCGCACAAGCTCCGCGCAAGGTTGGCGCAAGGGTTTGAAAACGCTCATGGTATTTAGTTTTAGTGTGATGAGCCTGCGCGAAACCATTGTGAGCCAAACTGTGCGCGCGCGCAAGCTCGCGCAAGCTCCGCGCAAGCGCGGCGCAAGCCCCCAACTCGAGATGAAGGAATATTGGACAACCCCCATATGTATATATAAAGATATATGTGAATAGATAGATACCCAACCGTACCTGGGTGGGGGCAGTATCCAGACCCAGAATGAGGGGTTTGGAAAGCGATTACTCTTGGAGTCCAGCCTGCGGCTTACCCAGCAGCGAAGTTGCAGCATCATGATCGCAGCACTCTTAAACAGGAGTTCTTCAAAGAGGGCCTGGAGGGTCAGGAAATTTCGTGGGCCTCCCATATGGATTTGTGGGCCCATTTTTGAGTAACTCCCAAGTGAGTCAGGATAGACGTCCATATCCGGCTGGAACGAGGAGCTTCGCAGGAGCTACCCTAAACCCTAAACTCCTAACATCTAAACCCTGCGATCTGATTTGTGTAAGAAATGCAATCTGTCACAAGGATAGCACCAGCTTTAACCAATGCAACCCTAAATTTTTGACTCTGGACAATTTGAACTCATTGAGCCTTACTCGCTCCCCCAAAGTATGTAAAACAGTTGCCGAAAAAGTGGAAAAAGAAGAGGCAGACAGGCTAGCATTCTACATAGTTTCGGGGTCCAAATCAATTCCAATTTCCTCAGGCACCATGGGCTGCTAAACCCTACAGGCCAGAAACCTAAACCCTACACAACATCAACTAAACCCTATAACCCTAGACGCTGACCCTAAACCCTAAACCCTACTCTAGCCACCCTAGGCTGAAAAAAGCTCCGACCACCAGGTCCTAAACCCTGAGCCCAGTAAATTTTAAACAAACCCTCAAACCTTGGCTAAGCCCTGCACCCAGCAAAGGCCTCTAAACCCTAAACCCAAACAATGCCTAGACCCCAAACCCTAAATCCTGAACTCTGAACCCTCAATTCTGAGCCCTCAAACTACACCGAAGGTTCATCGCCCGGATGGCAAAGTCCTTCGAGTCAAGGCTTCCGTGTCTACTTTGTGGGACCCTGGGGTTACTAGTTCCCTTTAAAGGGATGTATCGGGTAGGGTTTAGGGTTGGGGGACCTTGGGGTTACTAACAGGTTAGGTAGCCAGTTTATAGGGGGGTTACAATGGGCTTATTTCTGATGGGCGGGCATATCGTATATTGCTCAACTCCAAGGTCCCTCAAAGTATACCGGGGATCCATAGGGTTTTAAAGCGGGCCATGAGGGTTCAGGGTTCAGGATTTCAGGTTTAAGGTCTAGCGCTTAGGGTATGCCTTACACAGGGTTTTCGTGGTTGAGAGTTGCAGGGCTTTTCGTGTTTGGGGAGGTTTCAGGGGGAGAAGCTTCAGGGTCTTGATTTTGGGGTGTTGATGGATTCAGGGGTTTGAGTTTCAGCGTTTTCAGTGCCAGGGTTCGACATGCTTGTCAACACCGAGCAAACAGCTCTTGCACCACCACCCCCACCACCACCACCACCACCACTGCCGCCGCCACCGCCACCGCCGCCGCCGCCCCCGCGGCTACCTTCACCACTGCCACCGCCGCTGCCGACGCTGCTGTGGCTGCTGCTTCTCTGTTTCGAAATTACAGATTCTTGCTTGCTAGTGTTAGTAGATGCAGTAGTGCCGCTGTTATGACATAATGGCAATGAGGCGCAAGGAATACAATTGTAATTCCGCAAATATTGCCATGAGGTTATTGCCTATTCTTCGGCAGCCAAAATGAACAGAGTTCTACGGCAGTTGTAACCAACACACTGATGAATCTTACTACTCCTGTCAGTGGAGACAACCTTTCACTAGGGGTGCCTAAACCATTGCGATTCCAAGGATGCAGGGCACATGGGGTGGTGCCTCCATGAACAGTTCTAAGGGTCCAAGGACCCAAATAATAGTGTTTTAGGGCCCAAATATTATAATATTAATGGCATTTTGGCCCTGAAGCCCTATTATTTGGATCCTTGGATCCTTAGGGCAGTAAATTTATTGCCAGCTTTGCAGACGATCAAGAACCTGACGGGCCACATGATTGGGCCGTACAAAATCCATGCTGGAAAGCCATGCGCCAAGAAAGTCCATGGCAAGACTCAAAGATAATCTAGGTTTCCAAGGGGTTCGTGGGCGCAACGTGCTGAGGTGTATGGGGAAGTATGACCCTATGATAATGACTACATTGGGCACCAAAGTCTGCAAACATTAGCTACGTTGGGCCTTGGAGTCTTATGGTAATAGTAGAGATGACGAACCAATTTGCGGCCCTTCTGGATTAAATTGGGGAGATACCAACATTACCCCCCTTAGTCCAGTGCTCATGTTGCTCCACGTTTAGTCAGTACATACCCCAAGCTTGGATACAGTCCACTCAGTAGCAGATGGCTAGTAAATACGTTATGAAGATGTAACGTCTGCAATATCCCCACCATTATCGGCTACTACTGGGTCGGGGTAGTCCTTAATGTACAACCCAAAGCCCTATCTCTTCCCAGTTTCGGGTTTAGGGTCTTAGAATTTTCCATCTGAACCCCAAACCCTGTGGTAGTTGAATGGGCTCCTACGGTATACTTTTTCTCAACTTCAAGCCATGGACCCTGGGCCCTAACCGCTAAGTCGGAACGGGGATCTACTGATCAGGGCTTTAGACCCCTAAATTCAAAATACCTTAAAGCTCCCACCCACTTGTAACATATCTTTCATTTTTTGATGTAGTAAAACTAACCTCTGGGAACTATGCAGGAAAGCATTTTGAGTGCAAGTCTAAGGGGATTACTCAAAGTAGTTGCCGTTCATGGCTTTGAGGGCCCAAGGCCTCTCAACCCAGACCTTCTTAATGCTCCTTACAAAGCATGAGGGATGCACACCGCCTGGGTGTAGGGGAGAAGGCTACGGGTTTAGGGTGCCAGGGTTTAGGGTTTTGGGGTTTAGGGTCGTCTGTGAAAACTGCATGGAAAGCCTTCAGCGTGTTTTCAAGAAGTTTGTTCACTTCAAGGCCGTTGGATTGTTTGCTGGTCCACGCAGGTTCCCCGCTGCACCTCCTTTCTCTGTTCTCGCTCTGGATATTTCCCAGCTTCATTCTTTCGCATTCCTGAGGTCAGAGCTTTTCAAAACAGCCCCTGCGTGCCCGTCAATCTCTAGAGTGTAGGGTTTAGGTTAATCCCTAAACCCTAAACCCTAAACCTTGGTAGACTCAGACATGATGCCCTGGTAAGACTGGACAAAACCCCAACATGGGCCCACATTTTCGCATCTAATTCCCTCGGTCCAGCTACCCGATGATCATATACTATCTCATAACCTGTACCACAATTACTATTACCCAGGTCCTTACCAACTCATTGAGAAGTTGGACCCTCATGGATTGAGGAGGAATTTAGATGAGGTCCCTCAGAACCATGGTGTTTTCTGGACAGACCCGAGAGGCTTTTCCCAACCCAGACAAGGCAAATGCTGTTGTTTGAGGGGTCCCTCGGCAAGAATAGAATGCCCACTATGAGACATAGCATTGGCATCGTGTGGGGTACCTTGGTCCGCAAAGATCTTACTGGGAGCGTGACTGTGAGCCCTGCAATCCCACAACCTCAAGGCCCAAACCCTAAACCCTACCCTCAATCTCAAAATCCCTGAACTCTACCATTCTAAACCTCCGAATCATTACTACCCTAAACCCTAAACCTCCACATACTTCAGGTCCCTGCCGTCCGTCAACACCGGTGGCCAGGAAGCCACAGTGCACTTTTGGCTGCTTTTCGTAAGGCATACTGAGGTTTCTCAATCCTAAGGCCCAGATCCAGAACCCAAACGTCAAGTGGTTGAGTGGCTATCCCGCTGAAACAGCCTCAGCAGCCCTGCAGAAGCGACATCACGTGAACTTCAACAGCAAGTTTTGAGCTAATATCAATACGAATCATCACTACAATTATACCTGGCAGCTTAACATCATCAGCATCATATTCATCATCATCCCTAATCCCTAAACCCTGAAATCTTCATTTTGGCAGTTTACGCAGGAGCGCATGCTTGCCGGAGAACTTTGGGCGGCCGGGGCCTCTAAATCCTATGCTGGCTCAGGCTCTGCCCTCGTGTCAGTTTATTAAGGGACCCTTAATGGTGGACATAGGGCTCCGTCTTGTAGTTTAGTATAGTCCCCAATATAGTCCCTAATAAGGAACCCATGTCCACTAAGTGATGTAGGAAGTATCGATTGTGACTCATCAGCTAACCTCTCCCTGGAAGAAGGTACGCGAAAAGCTAATGGTTGGCCCTTTTATACAGGCTGGCTACACGAACAGGAGGTAATGAGAGTAGGAGTAGTAGTAGTAGTAGTAGTGGTAGTCGTCGTCGTCGACGTCGTCGTAATAGAAGTAGAAGTAGAAGTAGAAGTAGTAGTAGTAATAATAATAATGATAACAATGATGGTGGTAGCAATCAGAAGAACCGTAGTCACAGCAAGAGAATTTCTAGCGACGGCTTTTTGAGGGCTAACCGTAACTGACGGCAGTGTGGTGTGCAGGCGCAGCCATTCTGATCGCCGCGGTAGCTGAGTTTGGTCTTGCAATAGCAGCTAGCACCGCTAGCACTGTGGGTTTCAAAATTGGGCCCACGTTTACAGGTCCGAATAATTATGGGGATCATGCAGTTTGGAGAGGTCCTTACGATACTTGACAGCTACCGTATTGCCAGAATACCCCTCAGGCTGATACACCTGTCGGTGGCTCACATTCCCTAAGGGTCCAAGTACCCAATAAGCATATACTTACACAAAATCTGTATTACAATTACTATATACTACTATTATTACGCAAATACCAAATACCTAATTATTGGGCACTTGCCTTTAGGGTCCTAAACCCTAAACCCTTAACCCCATACATCCCTAAGCCCTAAACCCTTAATATATCCCTTTAAAGGGACTCTATTACTGGGTACTTGGACCCTTAGGGATTCTGATTCCGGAGGTCGAGACGTTCGGTTCTGTGGGTGGCTTCGGCTATGTGGGCAATGGAGGCAGGCTCAACCCTCCCGAGGCTTTAGGGTTTAGGGTTTAGGATCAGGAAGAGCTACCTACAAGTGAGAGTATCCCCGATAAAGTTATAGACGGTCATCGTTATAGTTTCTGCAGCCATAGCCAACATTTATGTGTGTACACATCTTGACACATAGTGTGTATATGTTCATGTCTAGTCTATATACGCATATCCATATATCTATGTATATGTACGCATAGATTTAAATTCAGGAATGTATATACACAAAATGTGCGTGTATGTATGTACAAGAGTACATGTGTATGTGCATGTCTATGTATGTGTATATCTATGTTCGTATCTATATGTGCGTATATATACATGTGTATATGTATATGTACATGTAGGTGTATATGCAAACGTATATGTGTATGCGTACCCATGTACGTACGTACATGCATACATACATACACACATACATACATACATACATACCTACCTACGTACGTACGTACATATATATATATACATATGCATATGCATATACATTGACAGTCATACATACATACATACATACATACATACATGCATACATACATGCATACATACGTACATACATACGTACATACATGCATGCATACATACATACATACATACATGCATGCATACATGCATACATAAATACATACATACATACATACATACATACATACATACATACAAACATACATACATACATACATACATACATACATACGTATGTGTTTGCATGCATATATACATATGGGTGTGCCTTTGCCTTTCGGGAGGTTTGGAGGGGCGCGGGAAGAAATCCCTCGGGCCGAGTCTTTACAGAGGACCAGAGAGCTGAAATCCAACCGAAATGTCCCCCAGCAAGAATTTTCAAGCCCGCTACTCTAAATCCTAAACCCTAGACGCTTCACAAGGATTCCGTACTTGGACAAGCTAACAGTATGCAGTTTGAGATTTAGGGTTTAGGGCCTGCACAGTTCAGATCACCAAAATGCAACCTGGACTAGTATAAGCCTCAATTGTATAAGCCTCAATTGAGGCCGGGCACCACGCAGAACCTCTGAGGCATGATGCACACATACTGAATGGCTTCTGCCAAGTTTAAAAAAAGACTAAACCCTAGAACCCTAAACCCCAGAACCCTACATAGAGCGCACAGGGAGAGAGATACCAAAACAATCCAGGCAATCAGCGTTTGGGTTGGGTATCAGGCTTCGGCTTAAGTACATCGGATACTGCCCCGAGTTGAACTTACGAAGATACCCGCGCAGTCCACCTTCGAACGTCTTTAGAAGATGCCTGTGCGCCCTAAATTTCAGACAAGTATAATGTAGCCCTCAAACCAGCGGATGCAGAATTTGGTCGGCAGGCGTCTAAGGGCAATTATCTCTCACCCTTTGCAGCGCCCTACCAAAGCAGTTCCTGAACATTCCCCCTAGCATGCCCTGAAGCTCCATCAACAACACTTCTTTGCCCCCCTGACATCTATACATGGTACCTACTTTGGAGCCTAGACCCTCAACCCTAACCCCCAAACCACTAAGCCCGAAACCCCCAAACCCTAAACCCGAAACCCCAAACCCCTATACCCAAAACTCCGAAGGCAACTGCTCCCATTTCATGCGCTCCTCTGGTTCCGCTCCGGCGCAGTGGCAAAGGCCTGATTGATTTAGGGTTTAGGGTTTAGGGTTGAGGGTTTAGGGTTTAGGGTTGAGGGTTTAGAGTTTAGGTTTTTAGGTTTTAGGGCTTGGAGTTTGGGGTTCAAGATGAAACCCTCTGCCAAGCGCAGCCGGGAACTGTAGTAGTTTCCCCAGATAGATGCACTGATGAGATGGACAGTAGAGGAAAAAGCTAAGGGTTTAGGGTTTAGGGTTATTACATTGTTGTACACTTCATATTTGGGTTTACGACATTATCAAAAATGCGGTGTCATGTTTCATTATATTCTATAGCATGATTGTTTCTACTTGGTGCGGCAAAACCCAGGAAAACTATATGATTACTGGCGATGAGGGTTTAGGGTTGTAGAGCCAAATGTCCCGACAAGAAATTCCGTTACATGTTTACCACAGAACGTTCAAGAGATAATCCTCCCCACCGAGTTCCAGGCAATCCGGCAGAACTCTGCCTAACCTCCAACATTATCAATGCATATATAGTTAGCCTAAGTCCGGCCTTGGACTTAGACCCTCAACCTGGAGCTTTTCAACATCTGCCCCTTAGCCATATACCTCCCCTCAAGAAGGAAGATTCCCGTAACATAGACAGAGAGATGATATAACATGGTGCTATATTTTCATATGTCTCATTACGGAGAGCCCTAAACCCTAAACCCTTGAGGGCTTTAATTCGAGGAGGAGCGTACTGCCGGAGCTTTAGGAGCCACTTGCGGATGATAAGTGGGCGTGGGGGAGTGTACCTATAAACTTCATCCTTGCATGAGCCATAATCTAAACTCCTTAAAGGGGGTTATATAAGGGATTATACGGGGAATTACAAAAAAGAGTTATTAAGGGCGTTACTATGAGTTTAGACAGTAAATCGTGCAAATCCGTATAGGAGCACCAAAGCTTTTTCCTCCTCATCCTACATTGCACCAGTAAGGCGACCCTACATCCCAAGCACCAAGCCCTAAGCCCTAAACCCGAACTTGTGTGTTCTTGAGCCCTACATCCTAACCCCTAGACCCTAAACCCTAACCCTAAACCCTAAACCCTAAACCCCTCAGTGGTCAGGACAATGCTGAGCTCCAGCGCTCTGAATTTGTCGCGGCCTCGAAGGACGCCAGCAATTCGCAGTACTGCAGGTTGGGGTTTAGGGTTTAGGGTTTAGGCCATTGGTTAGCTGGGAATGAAGAAATGGAAAAGAAAATGGAAAGTACTATTGGGTTTAGGGTTTAAGGTGGGAATGAAGGAATGGAAAAGGAAATGGAAATTATTGAAAAGGGTTATATAGGGACTTCTATAGGGGTCCATTCCTTCATTCCTAGCTTACCAAAGGCAAGTTTAAAGCGAAGAGGAGCACGGGCCATGAAATGGAAACTTGTTTTATGCAGGGGCTTATCCAAGGCGACTTACCAATACTGCAGCCTAGATTTTTTGTAAAGCTGTAGTAAAGGGTAGCTCAGACAAGCCTCAAATTCATAACAGTAAGTATGTAAAGAAAACTCGGTTGCGGCATTCCGGTGTGGGCACTAGGTCACCGTTGAGTAATCTTCTTGTCTAGTGCAAAATGGGATGTGAATATGAAACCCTCTTTTGGATGGCATCCCGAAAGGGACGCAGGTTATTTAAAGGTTAAGGGCCAGGGGTTTAGTGATGAGTTTAGGGTACAAGAACCCGGGCGCAGGGTTGTGCTGCGACCCCAAAAGGTTTGTGAAGAGCCGCACGCAGGTGGGGATCGTCTGGTTTGGGAGTTGCATGTGGGATCTCCGTTTGTCCATGTTGAATGACAAGAACCCAAGAACTTGCATTTCGGTGCACTGTTCCATGCCCTGTCATTGAAACCTGGCCAAAGGCCTTACACCCACATTAACAGCGAATATACGGCTCCTTCATGAATCTTTTAGAAGTGCCCCTGGAACCCTCTGATAACAACCCGGCTAAATCCTTATGTCGTTGTATGTATGCATTTGTTCTTCATCCATACTAGTTTCCATTTCATTTTGCATGTTCTTGTCCACGTTATCCTGCATTATTGGGGGTAGTATCCCTGTACGTATATCCTTATGTACGCTTGATTCTGAAAAGGCCTGTGCACCCTAAACCCCTAAACCCCTAGACCCGTAACCCCTAACCCTCCCCCACCTTTTCTAGGCTTTAGGCGACGATAACCCTTACATAGCCCTACTAAAGCCTCATATAATCCCTATATAGCCCTGCTTTACAGTAGGGTATGAGCCCTAAACCCTAAACCCCAAACCGCGTGGGTATGAGCTGGACAGTGTCAGGTTGGATCTCATAGATCAGCGCTTTGGCACCCTGGCCTTTTGCCCTCGCTGGATTCTTCAAGCTCAGGCCCAACAAGCTGTGGCTGTGCTAAGTTTTGGAGATTTAAACCCCAAACCCCTAAAACCCTAAACCCCCTAAACCCTAAACCTCAAACCCCTAAGCCATAAACCTTAAACTTTAAACCCCTAAAACCCTAAGCCCCTCAAACCCTAAGCCCCTCAAACCCTAAACCCCTAAACCCTAAGCCCCTAAACCCTAAACCCTGAAGATTCTGGGATTTAGGGGCCAGGTTGGCAAGGGCAGGGGCAGTGTGACCACCTGCAGTCCACATCAGGTAAATCTGAAAATTGAAGACTTCCGTTGGGTGAATTTGGGGTGTAGGGCTTAGGTTTTAGGGTTTAGGGCTTAGGGTTTAGGGCTTAGAGTTTAGGGTTTAGGGTTCAGGGTGCTGAAGATCCCTTCAGATTTGCTTCATCGGACTTTGGTGTGGCTGTTGCAAGTGCGTTACTAACCGCCACTGTCCTAACCTTCATTCATGCCTTGGCCATGCACGTCTCCCTTGCAAGACCCAAGTTTTGCTAAGGGCTCAGGTAAACTCCTCGCTACAAAGGGTTGCCGCTGGGATAGTATAGGGCTTTCCAATAGATGTATAGCATACTACCTGACCTTCTTCCATGGTCCTTCAAACTCAGCTGCGAGACTCTAGATGCACGGGAAGAGCCTGAACGGAGACTGGCAATTCCTCGGTAAGTTGTGTAATGGCATTCAAAAACTTAACTGCCAACCTATGACCTTCAAATATTGTTATCTTATGATGACAGCTATTGGCGTTAGTTACTACAGTTACCATCACCGCTACAGTGTCTTTCGCAAACATTGCTTCTACTTCTTATACGAGTACTAGTACCTGTGCTACAATTCTACCAATCCCTTGCTTCATGTGGGTTTTCCCCAAATTAAGGGTGCCATTTTGGTGGGGTCCCCTTTAAAAGGATCATCGTACTTGGGGGTCTATATCAGGGTCCTTCTATTTCCCTAAACCCTAATCACTAAACCCAAAACCTTAAATCCCCAAACCCTAAACCCTGAACTCTAAACCCTAATCCCCATACCCTAAACCTTAAACTCCTGAACCCTAATCCCCGAACCCTAAACTCCTGAACCCTAATCCCCAAACCCTAAACCCTAAACTCCTGAACCCTAATCCCCAAACCCTAAACCCTGAACTCCAAACCCTAATCCTCAAACCCTAAACCTTAAACTCCTAAACCCTAACCCCCAAACCCCAAACCCTGAACCACTAAACCCGAGGCCGCCCAGCAGAAGAAGTCGAAGCAGAACGGGAACCACCAGGCCGCTTGGGGTGGGAGAATGATGCCGGATAGTTCCCCGGACAATGTGCACCGACCTTAGAACCCCGAATGTACAGTTGAAATTCCAGCAGCTGATTCCGGCTAAGACTCTAAGACACATCGTATGCTAGGCCTAGAAAAATGAAGCTCTCAGAAGGCTTTAGCTCTCTCTGTGTTATTTATGCATTTACTGGATGAGTAGCCATTCAGCTGGGATATAGATATTTTCAAGCCTAGAGCATCCTAAAGCAAAGAGCCTTGAAGATAGTGCTCTCTAGACTCGAAACCAGATTTGTATAATATAGATATGTACATACCGTATAAAGGTTCCTAACCCAGGAAACCCTAAACAAAAGCGGAACCTTCAACCGTGTTGCACGGCACTTTGCTTGAGACAGGCAATGCTTCAAAGTGACAATCGATGAAGGGGCTTCCACAACCCTAACCCCAAACCCGAAACCCTAAACCCTGAAACCCTAAACCCTGAACCCTCAACCCTCAACCCTAGACCCTAAACCGGGTTGTAGAGGCATAAGGCCGAAGCCTGAAGAATTGATTAGCAAACTTCTACCAATAGCGTTTAGGGTTCAGGGTTTAAGGTTTAGGGATCAGATGGGGAAACAGGAAAGGGAAACTGGGATTATGTATGGTTTTGTAGGGGATATTTCCAAGAATCTGCTTCTAGAAGCCCTTTATGGACTGCAAAAATGCTCTTGGCAGCTATGAAGGCTTAGAAATGAGCTTCTCATAAACACAAGTTAGAATCGTGGAGCTGTTGGAGGCCTTGTGTCTACAGTAACTTGGGTTTTGCTTCGATCCTCCAACCACGTAAAATCCCCAAACCACACAAAGCTCTACCCCTGCATCCCAAAAACTCTTGTAAGTCCGACGGACAAGCACGTTAAAAGCCATATGTAGCGCAACCCTATAGACACCAGACTCCAAATTGCTATTCCCGTGTCAGCGCTGGTGGGCGTCGCCGTTGGACGAACTCTGCAATGTGGGCGTGGTGAACAGGCGCCCGTGATACCCCAGTTGTGTACAACTGGGTGCTTCTGCGTGAGTGGTCGTGTTGTGACACTGATGTTCGCAGTAATTCGCAAGAACAACTCTTATAATCTTTAGGTCAATCCCCTTAAAGTCGTAGCCCCTAAATATGGAGTTAATACGGCCTTAATTTTCCTACAATAGGGTTTAGTGTTTTTCCAGGTGTCGGCGAGGACAAGCGCTGCTACTCATGCTGCAAACAGTCACTGATAGCAACTCAAGCTGCTTGGATCCCCCAAATAATAATTACATACCCTAGTATTATACAGTAGCTTCCATTTTCTTTTTCCATTATCCCAATATCATCCCATATAACCCTAACATAACCCCAAGAAGGCCAGAATAATGGCACGTTTGTGACTTAAACGGTTGTAGGTCATTGTTGTACCTACTTTGGAGGTCCAGGCCCTAAGCCCTAAACCCTAAACTCTAAACCCTAAACCCTAAGCCCTAAACCCTAAACCCTTATGTCCAGCAGGTACCCACCATTGGCAGATCTGCGTGGGTCCTTCACTGCGCAGCTGGATGCTCAGCAACCCCCCCGGGGGCGAAGCATGGTCCTGGTGTTTCAGGCCTAACCCTGAGGGTCCAAGTACCTGATAATCATATTCTTACCCAAAACCTTTACTATAATTATTATTACCCAAATCCCTAAACCCTAAACCCTAATCCCAAGTACCTAAATATTGGGTACATGGACCCTTAGGGTAATGATAGAGTCATTCCTACATTGTGCCTCACCCTTGGGCTCAAAATAGCCCAATGTAGGTACTATTTATAGTCACTGGGGCCAAATGTAGGCAGTTTAGGGTTTAGGGTTTAGGGTTTAGGGTTTAGGGTAGGTATTAGTTGTAGACCTGGAGCCCCAGGGTTGGGGTCTATAGACAGTACCCACACGGAGCCTTAGGGCAAGAGACGGGAGGTCGGAAAATGCCCAAAAATAGGAGCAGCCCTGCCTCTGAGAGTCCGTGTCATAAGGAATACAGCATATTGATATAGGCCTTCCTTGCTAAGGAACCTCTTATACAAGGAGCCAGGTGTGTGGAGTCAACTGAGAAGTTTTGGCAAGGGCGGGGAACAGTGGCAAGAGCTTACCTAATCTAGAAACCTGAACAATTACCAATCTTTCCTAGATTCCTTGTACTTATGACTATAGTAAACGGTACCTCAAACAGATCGCACAATGATCGGATTATTTCGGCCCCCATATTACGCAGACCCTTTCAAGGGCTCTTTCAGATTTCTTGTGCAGACCTCTTGCCTTACCCTTTCTATCATTTTACGAAACAGCTTGGGAATTGCTCAGACAAGGGGCATCCTTGGGACCACAATACATGGGGATTTCCCAAAATTAAGGGTACCCTTTTGGGGGGTCCCTATAAAAGGATTACAATATTTTGGGGTCTATATTTGAGTCCCCTTGTTTTGGGAAACTACCATATGGGGACCACAGGACAGTTGCAATTATTTCCAGGCGACTCCCGCTTGCGGGGTTTTGTGGTTTTTCAGCCCCTTTTTTATGTTTGGTGTCCAAGGTACGAGCACACCATCTTGCTTGGCAGTTCCAAGAAGGAAGTGATGCTCTCAGCTCCTGGGTGGTCTCGCGTTTACCCTTTTGACTAAAGGGGTGCCAATATTCGACTGTTTTTTTATTGGCGTGGAGCCATTGTCTTACCAAAATTTTCAAACGCAAGCACTAAAATGGGCTCCTTTCACTTCCCAAGATTTGGGGATGCATCTTTGCTCTTCTGAGACTCAGGGGTATGGCTCGGGACTCCAGTACGTATTAGAACACAGCCCCTCAATGCACGGTTTGGGGTATAGGGCGGGGGGGGGAGGGGGTTAGGGTCTTAGGCAGGGTTTAGGATCTAGGTAGGGTGTAGGGTTCAGGGTTTAGGGCTACCTCGTTCCATTCCTCCACTTGAGTTTTGTGTGAGTGGGGAGGAATGCGGGACTGACTTACGCGCTTGTACTTGCAAAAGCATAAATCCTCAGATTGAAGATTTGAGCCGTTGTTTCTCCTGTTTCCTTCTGCAAATTTCTGAAGTTTTTATATGATACAAACCCCAACACATGAAACAATAAAGGTTTTGGAGATCCGCAAGAGTGTTGAATTTCGTTCAACCCTAAGCCCTAAATCCTAAACCCTAGACCCCTAAGCCAGGGAACTCGCAGAGCTACGATCTACAGCTTTCAAAGTGCATTTCTGATGCTTCCACGAAGCCTAAGCTTTAAATGGGGAGTTTCCCAAGATTAGGAGTATTCTGGGGTGGGATCCCCGGGGGTTTATATTGTGGTGGATTATACTTAAGAGCCTCCGGCTCAGTCCGCCGACCCAGTGGCGGAGAAAGCACGAAAGCCTAAACGCGAAACCTTGAGGGTTTTCAGCGGCTGGCACGAGACCAATAGATAGGCGCAACAAGACTAGTCCAA